GTTCAGTTGGGCGCTGCTGCAATAGAGAGAGTAGCGCATCAACTACAGAGTCGCTTGAGAATCTCAGCAACCCTTCGCTGTTGCCGTCGCCTCCACATGAAGACCCGGGCTGCTGCTGCTGCTGCGCTGAATCAGGTGACGTTGGCGCAATTGGTAGCTCGTCTTCTCCTGAGCAGCAGTAGCACAGACAGAGAAATAAAAATGCGTGCTCCCATGAAGCAGTAACAAGAAAAATGACAAGGTCAATGAAAATTGAATTCAAGGAAAAGCCGATAGCAGCAACATCAAAGAAGCAACCCAAAGAAAGCAAAATGGCTGGCGGTGGCGTCCCTACTACGTTTTGGTTGGCTGGAAGGAATAGAGAGGCAGTTGCGGAGGCCTTGGTGCTGCATTTGGTGCTGTTGGGGCTGCAGTTGTGGATTCAGTTGCTGATGGGCACGACCACTATACGTTCCGTCTTCAAAGCAAAGGCGGGCCACCTGCACGAGCTTGTCTTGAGAAGAGTCTCGTTTTCCGCTGTCTTCAGTTTCGCAAGCGACGAGGTGAGGTAATTGTTGCTTGATGAGGCCGCAGTTTGCTGCTGCAGAAACACAGCTCTGCACCTGCTGCTGCTCCTGCAGCGGCGGGTGGTTCTGCTGCACCTGCGGCGGATGGCGGTGGTTCTGATCGGACGCAAGCACCACAACCTGCTGCTGCAACTCTGAAAATGAGTGCGACAGACTTTCCTGGTAGCTGGCTCTGTGAAAAGATCGCATGCAAGCCCCTGAGCTCTCCAGCCTGCCTTGTTCCTCCCCTAGAGGCATCTCCTGGCTTAGAGAAGAAGGTGACCCTCTTGGGGGGCCCCCAGAGAGCCCCTCCGGAGAACTAGGCCGGGCGCCTGTCAGGATAGAAACAGCAGTGCTATCGCTGGCTGTGCTTAAGAGAGATAGGCGTTGGTCTGAACTTAAGTCCATCTGTTTAGAGCCTGAGCCCCAGTGAGGGGAACACGGCACAGCAGCTGCCGTGGGGGAAAGAGAGCCCCCCCCAGGCGTCTGAGTGGGGGCCCCCTCCAGCGAAGCGGAGGACGAAAGCATCTGGGGACTTGCGGACCACCAAATGCCGCAGCCGCCGCCCTCAACTTCCGCACCCGGGCCCCTCCTTGAGGCAACCCCATGGTGCCTTCCATCCTCCATTCCAGAGTGTTTTGGGGTTTCCCCAGGGCTCCGGGTTGGGCTGGGTGGACCCAGTTGGAGATGCCCGCTAGCCAGCATTACCCGGGAAGAAAAACTGCGAATAAAACCCTGCTGTTCCTCGCGCTATTTCTGCTGCTGCTGCTGCTACCGCTTTCCCTGCTCTTGCGTGGCTCCCTAGAACGGCTGCACGGCACTTCTGCGCGTGGTATTCATCCTCGTACTACTCAAACTCAGACAGCTGGGATCGTGAAGTCCCACGGCAGCGGGGTTAAAAAGGACCACAGCGGAGGAGCAAGTAGAGCTTGAAGTGCTGAGCCTGAGGTAGCCAAAACGCGCTAAATACACACGTTAGCTCTACGTAAATGCTGAACGCATACAGTGACGGCGTAGCTGCACCACCGTCGTAGGCTAACGTCAAAGTCTCGAGTTGGCCATTATTTGTTGGACTCAGAGCTGCTCTTTTTTTGCTGCAGTTGTGAATGACTGGCTTTGAGCTGCAGCTGCCCTGTGGCTGCTGCTGCAGTAGCCCCAGCTGCACCGGCAGCAGCTGGCGAGCGGGTTGAAGGCCTTCTTTCCTTTTGGTTACTGGGATCAAGGAAGTAGCTTGAGTCGAATTAATGTGGCAGAAGCACTGGCTTTTGCTTCAAAGAGGGTCAGCGGTGCTGCGCCTTCGATAGTCCTCCTCCTGGGAGGAGAGGCGTGGCCCCCTTGAGCGAGAGAAGCAGTAGCAGTGCTGGGGTTTCTCCTTTGCAGGCTTATAAGGGCACAAACGGACTTCCACGAGGGTACTATTTCGGCTAGCAAAGAACGGAAGAACCAACGCCCCCCATGAGAGAGATCGGCTCCGCCCGGGCCTATCGATAGCTGCAGCTTCCTGGGGTTGCCTAAGGAGAGAGCTGCCCCTACTGAGGTAGTGGCTTCGTTTGACGGTCCCCCACAAGGAAACAAAGTGAAGTAACGCGGAAACGCACAAAAGCCCTTGCAATAAACAGCCCCTCTCTCGTAGGGGTGCACCGTTGGGTGGTCTGGTGCGCGAACTCGCCCGGCACGGAGGGGGGCGGCGGGGGAGCAAGGACTCCCCGGAGGCTTTTCTACAGCCCTAGCCAGGTTGATATATTAATAAGTGCAATTTAATTTCTATTGCATAATCTGTAAATATCAGCCGCACACCTTGAGCAGCTGTTGCGCTGCGCACCGTGCCACCTTCAGGACCCGCCGCCTGCTCCTGCTGCACATGGCATGGAGCATTGGCACGGGGCACCTTCCCTACACTCTGGGTTTTCCCGAATGCAGTATAAACTCAAACATGAAATATTGTTATAGACCAACGCCTATTGACACTGAAGTTAGCCAGAGATCCCCACTGCAGCACCACCACGGCTACCCTCTTAGGGATCCACGCCTACACGCGTCCTAACGTGCCAGCTAGCCGCTGCCTGCGGGAAGTTGGGCCGCTCTTTAGTGAAATTTTAGCATGTTTACCGCTCATTTTCAGCACAAGGGAGCTCATTTTGCTTGTGTTTCATCTTTGGCCTCCACTTTCACCCGCAGCACGGGCACGCACAAGCCACTGCTGCATTGCAGCGCTTCCCCAGCCGCATACACTCTGAAATAGCGCAGCCTTCGTCCACTTGCGCTCGGAAGGAAACACGTCAAGCAAACTTTCTCTCTCTGCTGCTACCTAGAGGTCTACAGAGCACACAGATCAGACCGGCGGCGCCAACCTGGATTCACCATAGCTATGTGGGGCCCAGCGGCCCCACACCGCATGGGCAAATGGGCCCTACCGAATCTATGGAAACTCGACTGCGGCTTTAGATCCTTACGAGAGCTGTGAGAAGCTCCAAGTAGAGCACGGAGCCTTAGTCTCTTTTGCCTCGGTACACAGTGCATCAGAAGACCTGTAGGCTCTTCAGAAGCAGTAGTTGTAAGGATCTCTTAATCTGTGGCTTTACTTTGAGAGCAAAGACAGCACTGGACCGTACTCTCTTTAGGGATCAATTTTTTTTGCTGCTGAAAGTTTGAGTTCCAGAGCACGGGATTTCGAGCGCAAGTTGCACAGGGGAAAAGTGAATGTCTCACGCTTCAGCCTTGGGAGGTTAGAGCCTAGGACAGGAGTTGAATAAAGAGGAGAGTTTGTAGGGCAGCATGCACTTAGGAACCGCGAGTTGGCTTTCTTCAGTGTCCGCGTCTAAGCTAGTGCTCCTTAACAAGGAGAAGTCTGGACGTAGCCAGCCAAGCTGGCGACTGCACGAGAATCTTCTAAAAGGGGTCTGGTGTGTAAATATCCCCTGGAGCGGCTACTGACAAGGCGCGGTCGAATACACTAGACCTCAAGGAGCAAACAGTGGTGCTTTGATTGCTTGTATCGCCGGGTTATAAGCTTCTTGAGCAGCTCGGAAAGCCGATGAAATTGGTTGTGTCTGCGGAGCGCTCTCGATGCTGTGGGGAGAAACGCCAAGAGGACTTTGCACAAGCTGTCCACCGTGCATTGGGGATACTTATGTGCGGTGTTTCGGAGGCTACATGCATGCAGATAAGGCTAAGAAAGGGGAACAGCATGCAGCCTGCTCTTCATCTGAAGCGTTCATCCTCAGAAATACTGGTATACCGTGTTTGCCTGCGCCTCTGTGAGCCTGGTGTTTTCTGCTTTTTTGCTCTGTCCGTCCGAATGTGCTTTTCTGACCCCCTCCCTATGTGTCTGTCACGTCTAGCGTAAAACGACTCAAGACGTGCGCAGCCTCAGGGGCGGACTTAGCCAGTGGCTAGCAGGGCATTCTGGGCCAAATGGGGTGTTGCGACAGGCGCTGTGTGCATGACCCGACAGCAGCGCCGGCAGGGAACTGAATTGACAGGCATAAAAAACAGACTGCGCGAGTTAACAGGACACTGGATTGACAGACTTGAAAAAAGACAGAGCGCGTTGCCTTTGCCTGCATTTGCGTTGCCTTTGCCAGGCTCTTTTGCCCCCCACCAAGTGCAATACCCTAAAGGCTAGCGGCTCCCTGACACGATTATGCAGTCCGGACTGCCTCATAGTTTCGGTAGAAGCAGTTTCAAGTGTTTAGCACTTAAAATAAAAGGTAGTTTGTGGTTAGCCCTAATCCTCACAAAGTCCCACAGTGCCGGGAAAGTCCAAAGCAGTGGCCTGTCTCGCTGCAGTCTGCACTGGCGTGATCAAGCAGGAATCTATGCTGTATGTGGCCTGAGGCCCTAGCAGCAGCAGCAGCAGCCAAACAGAAAGAAGGGCTTCAACAGGGGCACCGGAGAGTGTAGTACTGATTCTGGTGTCGAAACTAATATAGAGGAGATGCTTGCAGTAGCTTCGTTCGCAGTCAAATCCTACCACAACCGCCTGGACCTGCTTCTGCGAACTCCCCACTGATTTGCATGCAAAGCCAAATATGCCAAAGTAAATTCGACGCAACGATCAGTAGCGACCTTTCCGCTGCCCGTTTCTAGCGCTTCTTGCCGCTGGGCCGCTGCTGCTGTTGCTGCTGCTGATAGAGCTCGATGCTACATACAACAAAGATGCCTTCTTGCTCGCGTCAGTGCTGAGAACTCTGCAGTTTCAAAGTTTTGGCCTCTCACGAGTCCATCACCCCCCACCCTCCCCTAGGGGGCTGCTGCAGCTTCCACAGCAATGGCAACGGCATGCGTACAAGTCGCATGGAATACCGAAAGGCCATGGTGAGGCGGCAGCAGCAAACAGCCTGCCGCGCGGGAATCCTGCTGCAGCAGCCCGTTGCTTTCTGATGTCGTGCTGCTGCCTCTGATGCGTCGCCGTGCTGCTTCCACTGGTACAAGCTGCAGTAACAGCTGCTGTCCCTATGCCTGCACTGCCGGCTGCCACAAGGCAACGACACCACCACCCACTGCAGCGAACACACAGCAGCCACGGCGAAGGCAACAAAGTCCTGCTGATACACATCATGTGCAGTTTGCTGCTGCGGCTGTTGCTGTTCGAAGGTGCGCGAGAGGTCGCTCAGAGCCCCTTCATCACCTAATGTAGTAAATAGTTAACTGCATATCTAGAGAGATCACCAGCAGTCGGGCAGCTTGGGTTTCCATCTCACCTGTCAGCACAAGCGCATGAGTAGGCGACGCCTTGGCGATGGAAATTGGCTCTGAATGGCCCGCATGCCTAGCGACTAGCAGCTCCGTGTTAAGGTCTGTTTGTTGCTGCCGCTGCTGCTTCTGCTGCTGCTGCGCGCCGCTGTCTGTGGCCGGAGGCATCCGAAAGGCCAAGAGGCTGGGGCCTCGAGACCAAAACAGCAACGAACTGTTGCCTGAAAAAGTAGGCGTGCAGGGCCAATCGCTCGACAAGTCGCCGAATGACGCCTCGCACAGTCTCGCCATCTGCAGCAAAACAGCACAGAAACAGTGACAGCAGCAAGCTTGACAAAAAGCACAATGGGAAGCAGCTAGGAAGCAATGTTCTTAGGATCTTCTGAGATATGGTGGGTTACTAGCTAGCTAGTTAGCCGGAGCTAGCCTATCCATGCACCAACTTTTCAGCAGGGTTTGCTTCTTCTCCCAGCGGCATATTTGCATGTTGCGTGCCAGCTCTGCTACTGCTCTGTTGGGCGGCTGGGTAGCTAGCCAGCCATAAAGCTGTTCTAGTAGCTAGCCAGCGAGAAAGCAGTTCTTATTTAATGGCTAGCTGCAGGCGAGCCCTGCAAGGCTCAGGGAGCTAGAAGACCACTGACCGTAGTGCCCTCGAAGGCATTCACCAGCAGCAGCTGGTGGCGGTTTGTAGCCACAGCAATTGCTTCGCCGTCGGGGCTGAAGCAAAGACTCTGCAGAAATATTCCGCCGCGCACAAAACTGCTGCGCTAGGAGCAGCAGCTGTAGCATCCAAAGCACTAGCAGCACTGCCTGCTGTGGAAGCAGCTTCTGCCAGGGCCGGAGGCAGCAGCAATATGGGGTACAGCAACATGAAAAGAAGTTGTAAACACTAATGCTCACCGCGATGCAGCTACCAGGGTCCAAAGAAGCTGACAAGTCAAATGCAGAGAATTCTTGCTGCAGCCACACCAGCACGCACAATAGCATTGAAAGGCCGGCCCTGTGTTGTGCCACCACCGGAAACAGAAACGAATTCACTAAAAGACAGCATGAGCGTCAGCGCCCCAAGCGGGAGCTGACACAGCAGCAGCAGCATAACCCGCTGCTGCGGCTGCGTATTCCACGGGAACCCCACTGCGTTCCCGCTTGCTGTAGCAGCATCTAGAGTAGCAGCAGCAACCAGCAGGAGCAACACGAAAGGGGCTGCAGCAGCAGCTTAGAAGACCTCTCAAAAGCAGACGGTGGGCGAGCAGCCACACAACAAAAAGCACTACGACAGTAGCCGCAACCTCTCCGAGCGGATCCAAATCGGGAGCATCAATGCAGGCCCCCGTCGCGGCAAACGCAGCAGCAGCAGCAGCAGCAGCAGCTCACCAGGTCGGTCAACTCGCTGTTGACTAGGCGCACGTCGGTGGAGAAACGGGCCACCGCGAAGACCAGCCCTTCCCAGTCAAAGGCGATGGCGGGGCGGGGGTTTTCGCACTGCATGACAGCCTGCAGCAAAACAACAGCCCTGAAAGCCGCAGCTGTGGCCTTGGCGTCTCGCCTTTTGCTGCCGCAGCGGCAGCTTCTTGCTTCGAAGCTGCCAGCCGCAGGGCAGCAAAAAGGCAACATAAAGGATTTAGGCAAAGGAGCAGCACGTTACAAGAGCCAGCAGCAGCAGCAGAAGAGCAGCACGAGGGTCTCAGACACGCAAGGCAACGCGCGTAACAGCCAGGAGGTGGAGTCATGCAGCAGCAAAGGCGAAGCAGAGAGAATAGAATGAAGCAGCAGCAGAGAAGGCGAAGCAGAGAGAATAGAGTGAAGCAGCAGCAGAGAAGGCGAAGCAGAGAGAATAGAATGAAGCAGCAGCAGCAAACAAGACTAGCGCCTCACCAGCGGCTGGCTCTGCTTCAAGTCAAACAAAAGCACCGAGCCGTTGCAACAGCTGGCCAGAAAAAGGCGCTGCCGGGGATGCGCCAGCAAGCCCTCAGACCCGATTAGACTGCAAGGGCAGCAGCAGCAGCAGCAGCAGCAGCAGTAACCGCCTCAGCAGGAGTCTAGATAGAAGCGACAGTCCACGGGGCACCCCGGGATGCAGTCTGTCTGTTTTGCTGCCTATTTGCTGTGCCAGTGCAGTGTTGTAGTGTTGCTGCAGCGTTGCTGCCTCTCTGCTGCGCCAGTGCTGCTGCAGTGTTGCTGCCTCTCTGCTCTGTCGCTGCTGCTGCAGGGCCTGCTGCGCTGTGGCTGCCTCTCGGCTCTCCTTCTACAACTGCTCAGCTGTGGATTTTTTGCTGCCGGGGCAGCACTTTTGCTGCCAGCAGCACAGAACAACTTTGCTGCCACAGCAGCACTTTTGCTGCCTGCAGCACAGCTCACGGCACGGGGAGCGGGTAGGGGCAGACAAGCCGACCGGCGGCCAAGTCCCACAGACGGACGCACGCTGCGGCGAATACAGCAGCAGCAGCAGCAGCAGCAAGTGCAACAGCAGCAGCAAAAACAGCCCACCGCTGCCACGTCACTCGCAGCTGCAGCAGCTGCAGCTGCCAACGTTGCTGCTGCTCAGCCGGCTTCTGCTGCGCCATTGGCTCAGAAGGGCCGCTAGTAACTCCAATTAGACTTTCCAGGAGCTTAGAAATGTACAGGGTGGCCAACAGTGTTAAAGCAGCAACCAACAGCAGCAGCAGCAGCAACAGCAGCAGCAGCAGCAGCAGGGGGTCCCACCATCAGCTTCAGCGCCCCCAATGAGACACTCTGCAGTTGACAAGGCCACAAACCGAGCAGAGGAAACGCCTCCTTCCGGACAGTCATACACCCGGGGCACGCTGCAGCAGCAGCAGCAGCAGCAGCAGCAGCAGCAGCAGCATTTGCTTCATCGAGGGAAAAAGAACAGCAGCAGGTGAGCCAGGGGCGCTGCGGCGCCGGCACTTGGAACTGCAATTCTGCTTCTCGCGCACTACAGCTTGGCCTGGCTGTGGCTCTCATTTTGGTATTTGCTGCTGCCCCTTTTGAATCTAATTTTTGGGTTTATATCCTCTTTAGTTCTTTCTCCTTTTCTCTTTTGCTGCCTCTACCTTCTCGCTTTTCTTGCGGCTCTTGTGCGCTTGCTTAAGCTGCTGCTGCGCTTGCTGCTGCTGCTGCTGCTACTGCTGCTGCTGCTGCTGCTACTGCAGCTCCTGCTGCAGCAGCTGCTGCTGCTGCACCTTACCATCCGGTTTTCAAATCGATTAACAGCAGTTTCGCAGAGCTCCCCTCGGGCCCGCCCACAGCAGCAACCAGCAGCAAAGAACCATCAGCAGCAAAATCTGCCGAGACTACCCGCCAGCCTGCTGCAGCAGCAGCAGCTGCTGCTGCTTCTGCCCCAGCCGCATCCCCACAAGGCACGCCCACATGACGGCTCCAGCAAACCTTGAGGCTGCGCAAAGAAGCAAAGAGAAACTCGTTTGCTGCTTGCAGTTTTGCTGCTGCTGCTTCCCTTTCCACGACTGATGCAGCAAAAGCTGCTGCTGCTGCGCTGAAGCTCTCGTGAGCTGTGTCTTCCCACCTGGCAGCTTGTGGGGGCCCGAATGGACCCGTGCCCGTCCCCAGCATGTGCCCGTGCTGCACTTCTTGCTGCTGCTGCTGCTGCAGGTGCTCGGACAGCTGCTGCGGCACTAGCAACAGCAAGAGCAGTAGGAGCAGCAGCAACAGTGGGAGCCGCCTTAAGTCCTAGTGCAGCTGCCGCTGCTCTGCGGTATTCCTAAGACTAGAGCCAGCGCCCTCTACAAGGTGGCAGCCGCAGGCGCAGCGGCGCAGGCAGCAAGATCAGCACAGCAGCAGCAGCAGCAGCAGCAGCACAACATCACAGGCACCCCAAGATGCCGCTGTTGGCTGTGGCTGTGGAGACAAGGGGACCCTTAAGAAAAATTGGGGGAGCCCCAATGGACAGGAAGCCTCTACCAAGCAGAAGGCCCAGATGTCTGCTGCTGCTGCTGCTGCAGCTGCAGCAGCAGTAACAGCAGCAGCCTTAGAGCGTTCTCCTCAACAGCATGATCACCAGGTCGGCAAAGCCTTGGAATTTTTTCCGGGTAATTAACAGTTCCTCGGTATGCTGTGTTTGCTGCTGCTGCCGCATGCAGCCACTGCCGCCCAAGCTGCTGCTGCTGCTGGCTTACTCTCACCAGTGCTGCCGAGGCGATCAGGCGAGTTCTTTCGTTAGAAAAAAACTCTTTGTCTTTATGCAAATGCTCTGCTGCTTGTTACTGCAACTTGTGCCGGCCTCCATACCAGGCAAGACAGCCAGCCGGAGACAGCAGCACCACTAGCAGCAGCCCAAGCTGCAGCAGCAGGCAACGGCTCTGAAATCTTGAGGCCGGGCTCTGCCGCAGCAAACTCAAGTTCTTTTTTCTCCATAGCTTCCTTTGTCGTCTTCTTGGGCATTTTCTTTGACGCAGCACACGCAAAGGGATCAACAGTGACCTTGGGGCAGCAGCGCAGGCTGCAGCAGGAAGAGCAGCAGCAGCGCCTGGTGCAGCAACTGTCACAAGATGTCTGGCCGGTGGCGCTCCTTAGCTGACAAGCACGCCCATGAAGAGACTGCCCGAGCCGTAGACGCAGCAGCAGCAGCAGCAGCTGCTGCTGCTGCTGCTGCCATCGCACTGCGCCGAGGCGACCGCCCCCCAGGGCGCCACACAGCAGGCGGCCAGCCCCCGCCTCCCCCTCCCCCGCCTCCCCCTGATGCTGCTGTGCAGAAGCCGCGGCGCAGCAGCAGCTGCTCGCTGCAGCGCTACCGCCACCACCCGAGCATCAGCAGCAGCAGCCGCAGCCGCAGCCGCGAAGCCAACTACGAAGGCGCTGCTGCTGCTCGAAGAGGCAGCAGAAGCCGCAGCAGCAGGCACTTGTCTCTTTGCAGCAGTCCTGCTACGCGGTCGCGGCCACATCCGCAGTACCAGCAGCAGCAGCAGCAACAGCAGCAGCAGCAGCAAGAGCAGCAATCCTACGCGTACCCTCGCAAGAGGCTTACAGGCACTTCACACAGCACCTCGCGAGTTTCGCTGCATGCAAATCCGGACCACGAGCGCCTGAATGAGCCGGTACACGAGTACGCTCTAGATCAGCAGCAGCAGCAGCAGCAGCAGCAGCAGCAGCAGCAACTGCTGCCGCGGAGCCGGCGGCCTGTGCAGCTGAACCCCCCACGCTGGTTTCGCGTTAACGGCGAAGCCTCGAGGGGCCCTAAGGCAGATTTCTCTTCCCAAGACAGCAGCAGCCGGCCGCGTGTGCTGCTTCAGCCGCGGCCGCAGATACGTCACGCAGGAAAAATGCAGCAGCAGCAGCAGCAGCAGCAGCAGCAGTGGCAGCAGCCTCCGCGGCGCGTCACTGCTCTTTTGCACGAAAGGAGTTCCAACAGAGTTCTTCTGAGGGCCCGCGATGATGCTGCTGCCTCAGATTGGCCAGACGGCTTCCAAGGCAGAAGGCGCTACAGAGACGGTTTGCTGCTGCTGCTGCTGCTGCTGCTGCTGCTGCGGTTTGTTGCTGTTTGCTGGTGCCAGTCACGCGCTGTTTGCTCTACCTGCAGCCAGCAGCCCTAGTTGCTGCTGCTGCAGCAGCTGCTGCTTTTTGTGTGTTCCTGCTGCTGCAGAAATCGAGACTGAGCCACGGGAGCGCGAGAGGAGCCCCAAGCGGCAAAGGCGGGGCAGCAGCGGCAGCAGCAGCAACAGCAGACGCAGCAGCAGCAGAGGCGGCAGCGGCAGACGCAAAGTGCACTACCGGCCTTATGCGTCGCCTGAGAGATACGCCGACTCATCTGCTGCCCTGCTTGATGCGGAGCAGCAGCAGCAGCAGCAGCAGCAGCCGGCGCGGCTGCGGAGGGCAGTCATTAGTACCGGCAGTGCTGTAAAACTGAGCAGCGCAGCAGGTGAGTCGTCAACTGCAGCAAGTGCAGCAGCAGAAGTAGCACTTAGTCGCTACAGGCCATTCGTGCTGCCTCGTTGCAAGTTTGTTGTTGCTGCTGCTGCTGCTGCTGTTGCTGCTGTGCAGCGCCTACCACGGAATCCTTCCCGCGGCGGCGTGTCTTACCAAGCGGGCCCAGCCGCAGCAGCGAGGAGCAACGCGTTCTGCTGCTGCCCCGCGGCGCAGCAGCAGCAGCAGCAGCAGCAGCAGCTCCCCAAGCGGCGCCCAGTGCAGCACCTGCAGCAGCAAGGCAGCGGGAGAGCCATTTGCTGCCCTCGAGCGCTGCGCTGCCGCCGCTGTTGCCAACGCCGGGTGCTGCAGGCTGTGCTGGTGGCTCTTCTGCTGCTGCTCCTCTTGCTGCTGCTGCTGCTGCTGCTGAAGATGCTGCAGACCCTGGCAGTGCTCGACTGGTGTATTCGTCTTCGCCTGTCACCTCTTGGCGGCGGGAGGAGCGGCGCAGCAGCTCCGTCGGTTTGGGCCGGCAGCCGCCGCTGCGGCAGCAGCAAGACCAGCGCCAGCAGCAGCCGCAGCAGCAGCAGCAGCACAAGCAGCAGCAGCAGCAGCAGTGGCAACGAGAGCAGCGTGCCGACAGCCTCACCTCTCGCTCCCCTCCAGGCGCCCATGAGCGCCGCAGCACTCACCCCCAGCAAGGCGCTCCGCAGCGGTTGAGGTCCCCGTCGCCACCTCAGCAGCAGCAGCTGCAGCAGCCGCAGCAGCAGCAGCAGCGGCCGCAGCAGCGGCAGCAGCGGCAGCACAAAGACGTTCTTTTGCCCCACAGTAGGAGGCGCGACCATTACACACAGCATGGTGGTTGGGATGAAAGAGAAAGGAGTGAGGAAGCGCAGCAGCATGAGCAGATGCAGCAGCAAAGCCAGCAGCCGTGGCAGCAGCAGCAGCGACAGTACCATCAGCCGCTGCCCCCCAACGAAACGCAGCAGCAGGAGAGGCGAGAGCAGCAGCACCGCCCGGTCGACTACGGCTCTAGGGCGAGAAGCAGCCAAATAAAAAGCGTGAGCAGCAGCAGCAGCAGGAACGGCTGCTGCAACGGGCAGCAGCGCCCGCACTCGCAGCATAGCCAGCAGCAGCAGGAAGAATGGCTGGAGGCCGAAGAGGAGCTGCGGCGCTGCCAGCAGCCACAGCGGCAACGACGCGATGCAGCAGAGCCACCGCTGCAGCAGCAGCAGCACGGCGACGGCCGGCGGTGGTGGCAGCAACCGCAGCAGCAGCAGCACGAGCGGCGGCCGCACGGTGAGCAGCAGCACCGCGAGCGACGCAGCTCGCTGCAGTCAGGACCCCACAGCCAACACTCTGACTACCACTTTTGGCGTCAGCAGCACCTTGAGCACGAAGAGCCGTACAGGCAAGAGCGGCAGCGGCAGCAGCAGCAGCAGCAGCAGCAGCAGCAGTACTGGAGGCGTGAGCGCAGCCCCGAAGGTCGCGAGCGAGCTCCCCGCTGCATGCCACCGCCGCCGCCGCAGCCCCCGCATCAGCAGCAGCAGCAGCAGCGGCACCACCCGCGGCAGCTGCAGCGGGAACGAGACTCTTTGCTGCAGGAAGAAGAGCTGCAGCGGCGGAGGCAGCTGGGGCCAGAGCGCCGCAGCAGATTGCCTTCTAGGCGGAGGTCAGCTTCCGTGCGGAGTCATTCTGCAGACTTCTATAGAGAGCGGCTGTCGCCCAGGGGCTACAGGCACTACCCGCAGCAGCAGCAGCAGCAGCAGCAGCAGGAGTATTACCGGTACTATGGGGAGGCCGAGCAGCACACCTACGGGCAGCAGCAGCAGCATCGGCAAAGACAGCTGCAGCAGCAGCAGCAGCAGCACGAGCCGCGCAGCCACTTCGAGCCGCCGTACCACCGCCGCCCGCCGCCTTCGCTGCCTCCTGAGCCCCCAAGACACTACCACTACCCAGCCTACCACAGGGAGCAGCAGTACCAGCAGCAGCAGCAGCAGCAGCAGCAGCAGCAGCAGCAGCAGCGCGACTACGAAAGAGGTGAGGAAGCGTGGGGACGCTACAGCGCCCGGCGGCACCCTAGCCCCCCCCCTGCTGCTGCTGCTGCTGCTGCTTCTGCTGCTGCTGAGGCAGCACATGAGCACCAGCACAACGGGAGGCACCTGCGGCGGCAGCAGGGGGGATATGTCCGAGCTGAGTGGCCAAAGCACAGGCGACAAGACAGCCGCTACCTGCAGGGCCCCACAGCTGCTGCTGCTGCTGCTGCTGCTGCTGCTGCAGCTCCGCCGGGGCGCTCGCGGCAGAGGCCCCTCTCTGAGGGGCGCTAAGGGCCTGCAGCGCAGCTAGCCAGGGCAAAGCAGCTAGCCAAGGCAAAGCAGCTAGCCAGGGCAAAGCAGCTAGCCAGGGCAAAGCAGCTAGCCAGCTAGCCAAACGTTTCGCCAGACAGTCACGCAAGGCTACTGAGACTCCCGAGGCAGCCTAGCTACGCAGTCGAAAGTGCCGACACATCTAGTTGAGCAGCAGCAGCTGCTGCTGCTGCTGCTGCTGTTGCTGCTGCAGCAAGTGCACGTACGCCACACATCGAAAATCAGAATGGTCTTGAGAAAGTTATCAACGGCGCTGCACTCCAGCAAAAACGAACAGATTAGGGAGGGGCTCAGCGGCAGCTGCTGCTGCTGCTGCTGGTCTTCGGCCCAAGCGCGATCTGGCAGCAGCAGCGGCCTCTGTAGTGCAGCAGCGGCTGCTGTGCGGCTGCTGCAGCAGCAGGGCGTCTGCTGCAGCACCTAGGCGCTGCTGTGTGGCTGCTGCAGCTGCTGCAGCAGCAAGGCATCTGCTCAAGTGGCTGCCCTAGCTCAACACTTAGGCAGGGAACTACGCTGTCACTCATGTGGGGGTTGCTGCTGCTGCTGCTGCGCTGCTGCTGCTGCTGCTCTTGCAGCTAGGGAGGCAGCAGATGCTCGCCACTGCTACCCTAGGAAGCAGAAACAGAGAACCTGCAGCACTACGCAGCAAACAAGGAAGTCTGCTGTTGCCCTTTGCTCCGTCACCTCGAACTTCTCCGGGCTCACGAGCTGCAGCAAACAGCAGCAGCAGCAGCAGCAGCGCATGCAGCAACACACGGGCCGCCTGTAAGACCAGCACCTAAGGGAGCTCTCAGCAGCAACAGGCAGCGGCAATGCCATTAACTAGCAGCAGCAGCAGCAGCAGCAGCAGCAGCTCGCGCACCTGTGCGCGGAGGCAGCCTGTGAGGGCCGCTGTGCCGCCGCAAGAGAAAAGGGCAGCAACGAAGGCGTGCTTCGGAAAGGTGGTGCCCGAGACCAGTGGCAGCAGCAGCACCAGCAGCAGCAGCAGCAGCAGCCACGAGAGGAAGGCGTCAAGCAGGTATATATGCCCCTGGTAACTTGTGGTGTACGCACACCAACAAGTTCGACACAAATGGCCCAGGCTGCTGCGGCGTTTGCTGCTGCTAGTGCAGGGTGGCCCCTTTGTGGCTCCAGCTTTACTGGGGCTAACTTCCTGTGGCTGAGCTGCTGCTGCTGCTGCTGCCCTGCTGCTCTGTTGCTGCTGCGACTGCGGCGAGCCGCGGTGACGGGGCTTCATGATGCCGTCCGGTCTGAGGGACTATCGCGAAGCCTTGGGTGCAGCAGGAGCAGCAGCAGCGGCACGCATAGCAGCAACAGCAGCAAAGGGAACAGCTCACCGCGGGGCCCTGGCGGGCTGGGCCGCCTCTTGCCACAGTGGTGTCTTGTGTCTGTCTCTAAAGTACATATGAATGCGACTCAACAGCAGCAGCAGCAGCAGCAGCAGCAGCAGCAGCAGCTCCACTTGTGCTAGGTCAAGACTAGCAGGCTACTGCATGCGTCGGCAGCGCCGGTGTGCCCGGTACTACGGGCTGCTTTTTTGTCTCCCAACATGAACTATACAATTCCTTAAAACAATTCGTGAAAATAATGTCTTTTAATTCAAATTGAAAATGCTGGCGGTGCGCAACTTGCTGGGTGCCTGGCGGACTGGTGGGGAAGCAGCAGAGCTGCTTCCGACACACTTGCTTTGCTGCTGCAGCACAAGCAATAGCGTCTGCTGCTGCTTCTCATTGGAGGCAGCACAGACCTCCCGCTGTGGAGGCTTCAACTCACCTACGGCGCCCACGCCAACACAGTCTGCTGGTGCCATGGTTGCTAGTCTGCTGCTGCTGCTGCTGCTGCTGCTGCTGCGTGTATTGGTGCTGCTGCGTTTATTGCCGTCAATTGCTTTGGCGATAGTAGATTTACCGTCCTCAGTGCTGCCGCCGCCTGCTGCTGCTCGTGTAGAGCTGAGGAGCACAGTGCGTTGCGGCCACAGCCCAAACAGCCCTTGCTGCTGCAGCAAGGGCGGTGGCCTTTGTTGAATTAGCAGCAGTAAGTACTACTGCAGCAGCAGCAGCAACTGGTACTGCTTACAAGAGTGTGCTCGGGAGCTGCGTGCCACTCACCTGCGGCTCCAATAGTTCCAGTTTGTCCGAAAGAACTGCTGCTGCTTCATCCTTACCAGCCACTACATTGCTGCTGCTTCTGCAAATAATTCGTTGTAAGATTCTGCGGCCGTTGTGGTTGTAGCTGTGGCCATCAGAAGTTGCTGCTGCTGCTGCTGCTGCTGCTGCGGCCCGGTAGCAAGAGAATCCTGTCGCAGTTGGTGCTGATGCCACGCACTTGCCACTGCAGCAAGGCCTAATGCTGCAGCAGCACTGAGGGCTGCTTCTGCTGCAACAAAAGAGTGGACTAAGGCAGGGGCTGCGGCTGCTGCAGCAGCAAGCTGAAAGGCCGCTGCAGCTGCAGCTTACCCTGGGGCCACCTAGAAGCTTGATTTGGGAGAATTGGGAATCAGTTCAGGCCAAAGTTGTTGCTGCTGCTGCCAAAACTGCTGCTGCTGCTGCACTCTGCTGCTGGATGCAAAAAACTTACTGGGCATCTGTCTCAGCAGCGCCATGCCTGAAGAGCAGCGAAAGCAGCACTTGCTGCTGCTGCCCTTGCTGCACTTGCTGCAGCAGCTCACAAGGGTTCTCCTTAGCGTCTTCCGCTGCCGCATGGGCCTGCGCAGCAGAATGGTGCATGGCTCCAGCTGGCTGCTGCTGCTGGCCGAAGGGCTGCAGCTGCTGGCAGCAGCAGCGGCTGCCCATGATTAATTACAGGCGTAGCAGCGGGGAGTTGCTGCAAGGGTCTTGGCTGCTGTTGCTGCTGCTGCTGCCCCTAAGCATGCTGCCTTGCCCTTTGTTTTTGAAATGGCCCTTGCAAAAGGAGAGAGCTCGAACTGTGGCCACCGACAAAAGCTGGCTGGTTGCTCTGCTGCTGCTGCTGCTGCTGCTGCTGCTGCTGCCTGTGGAGCTGCAGGGGGGGCTGAATCCGCACTGCAAGCGAACGACACTGTGACAGCTGCTGCTGCAGGGCCTCTGAGCCAGCTATGGGTGTTCCTTGCTGCTGCTGCTGCTGCTCTTGCTGTTAAGGGAGCCTCAAAGGCAGGCTCAACTGAGGTTGCTGCACTGGTGGCAGCTGCTGCTGGGGTATTTGTAGCAGCTGCGGTAGTGACTGCGAGCCCAGAGGCCCAAGCTGCTGCTGCAGGGGATCCAGCGGCTGCAGCGGTTTCAACGGCTGCAGTGGCTGCAGCGGCTGCAGTGGCTGCTCAGGCTCTGGCGGCTGCAGTGTCGGCGTTTGCTGCAGTGGCTGCAGCAGCTGCAGCGGCTTCAATGGCTGCAGAGGCTGCAGCGGCTGCAGTGGGTCCTGAGGCTGCAGTGGCTGCTCAGGCTCTGGCGGCTGCAGTGTCGGCGGTTGCTGCAGAGGCTGCAGCAGCTGCAGCGGCTTCAACGGCTGCAGAGGCTGCAGAGGCTGCAGCGGCTGCAGTGGGTGCTGAGGCTGCAGTGGCTGCTCAGGCTCTGGCGGCTGCAGCGTCGGCGGTTGCTGCAGTGGCTGCAGAGGCTGCAGCAGCTGCAGCGGCTTCAATGGCTGCAGGGGCTGCAGCGGCTGCAGCGCTTTCAGCGGCTGCAGCGGCTGCAGTGGCTGAAGTGGCTGCAGCGGCTGCAGCGGCTGCAGCGGTTGCATTGGCTGCATTGGCTGCATTGGCTGCAGCGGCTGCAGTGGCAGCATAGGCTGCATTGGCTGCATTGGCTGCATTGGCTGCAGTGGCTGCATTGGCTGCATTGGCTGCATTTGCTGCAGCGGTTTCAACGGCTGCAGCGGCTGCAGCGGCTGCAGCGGTTTCAACGGCTGCAGCGGCTGCAGCAGCGCCCCCAGAGAAGGAAGCATCTCTCCCACTTTTTCGAAGGACTGGAAGAGGCTGGGGAGCTGCCTGTGCTGCTGCTGTTGCTCTTTTTGAGGCTGCTCCTCTTGCAGCTGCTCATGCTGCAGTGAATGCTGCTCTCTTTGCTGTTCCTGCCGTTGATCTTGTTCATGCTGCTGCAGGTCTTTC